GTTGTGGTGGTGGTTGTTGTGGTGGTTGTGGTGGTAGTGGTTGTTGTTGTGGTTGTTGTTTTGCTTGTTGTTGTGGTTGTTGTTGTGGTGGTGGTTGTGGTGGTTGTGGTTGTGGTGGTGGTTGTGGTGGTGGTGGTTGTTGTGGTTTTTGTGGTGGTTGTGGTAGTGGTTGTTGTGGTTTTGGTGGTGGTTGTGGTAGTGGTTGTTGTGGTTTTGGTGGTGGTTGTTGTGGTTTTGGTGGTGGTGGTTGTTGTGGTTTTGGTGGTGGTGGTTGTTGTGGTGGTTGTCGTTTACCGAGGTAGAGCCTCGCTCTCTCTCGTAGGGATGTCAATTGAGTAGCAGCGAGTATGGAAGCGATGTCCAGGTTGGAACTTTACATCGCGGGGCCTAGCCACGCGGGGCCTTGCCTCCTGCCCTCGCCTGACCGCGTTTGCTTCAATTCTCTCGCTTAAGTTTAATTTGTCTTCACTCGGCTCGCCACTTTGTCACTTTGTTTTACTTGTGGTGGTTGTTGTGGTGGTGGTTATTGTGGTGGTGGTGGTTGTTGTTGTGGTGGTTGTTGCAGTGCTGGTGGTTGTGGTGGTTGTTCTATTGGTGGTGGTTGTGGTGGTTGTTGTGGTGGTGGTGGTTGTTGTGGTGGTGGTGGTTGTTGTGGTGGTTGTTGTGGTGGTTGTGGTTGTTGTGGTGGTGGTTGTGGTGGTGGTTTTGGTTGTAGTTGTGGTGGTTGTTGCAGTGGTGGTGGTTGTGGTGGTTGTTCTATTGGTGGTGGTTGTGGTGGTGGTTGTGGTGGTGGTTGTTGTGGTTTTGGTGGTGGTTGTGGTGGTGGTTGTTGTGGTGGTGGTTGTTGTGGTTATTGTGGTGGTTGTTGTGGTGGTGGTTGTTGCAGTGGTGGTGGTTGTGGTGGTTGTTCTATTGGTGGTGGTTGTGGTTGTTGTGGTGGTGGTTGTCGTGGTGGTGTTTGTGGTGGTTGTGGTGGTGGTTGTGGTGGTGGTTGTTGTGGTGGTGGTTGTTGTGGTGGCGGTTGTGGTGGTGGTTGTTGTGGTGGTTGTGGTGGTAGTGGTTGTTGTTGTGGTTGTTGTTGTTTTGCTTGTTGTTGTGGTTGTTGTTGTGGTGGTTGTGGTGGTTGTGGTGGTGGTGGTTGTGGTGGTGGTTGTTGTGGTTTTGGTGGTGGTTGTGGTAGTGGTTGTTGTGGTTTTGGTGGTGGTGGTTGTGGTAGTGGTTGTTGTGGTTTTGGTGGTGGTTGTTGTGGTTTTGGTGGTGGTGGTTGTTGTGGTTTTGGTGGTGGTTGTGGTGGTGGTGGTTGTGGTGGTGGTGGTTGTTGTTTACCGAGGTAGAGCCTCGCTCTCTCTCTCGTAGGGATGTCAATTGAGTAGCAGCGAGTATGGAAGCGATGTCCAGGTTGGAACTTTACAGCGCGGGGCCTAGCCACGCGGGGCCTTGCCTCCTGCCCTCGCCTGACCGCGTTTGCTTCAATTCTCTCGCTTAAGTTTAATTTGTCTTCACTCGGCTCGCCACTTTGTCACTTTGTTTTATTTGTTGTTGTGGTGGTTGTTGTGGTGGTGGTTGTGGTGGTGGTTGTGGTGGTTGTGGTGGTTGTTGTTTTGGTTGTTGTTTTGGTTGTTGTGGTGGTTGTGGTGGTGGTTGTGGTGGTTGTTGCAGTGGTGGTGGTTGTTGTGGTTGTGGTGGTGGTTGTGGTGGTTGTTGCAGTGGTGGTGGTTGTGGTGGTTGTTCTATTGGTGGTGGTTGTGGTGGTTGTTGTGGTGGTGGTTGTTGTGGTGGTGGTTGTGGTGGGAAAGGTCCTGGCAAGGATTATTCAGCATCGCCTTGCCAGGCACGCTGAGGAGAGGCTTGCGGTGCCCCAATGCGGTTTCAGGAAAGGGCGGTCCTGCACAGATGCCATATTTTCTGTCCGTCTGCTACAGCAGAGGTGTAGGGAATTCCAACAAGACCTACATCTCTGCTTTATTGACCTGGTCAAGGCCTATGATACCATCAGTAGGCCTGGGCTCTGGGTCGTTCTTCGTGCTTTTGGAGTACCTGACCCTCTGCTCACGATCATTAAGGACCTTCATGATGGTGAGCGGGCCCGGGTAAAACTACGTGGCCGGGAGTCAGAGCCATTCCCTGTACACCTTGGGGTGCGACAGGGATGTCCTCTGGCTCCCACATTATTTAACATCTATTTTGACCACGTAGTTCGTGAAGCCTTCAATAGCTGTACCGGGGGAATCTCCATATGGTACAGATATAATGGGAGGCTAATCGATGCCCGGGTGCGGTCAAGGGATGGCTCCCTATTGCTCAACCACGTTATGTATGCTGATGATTTGGTAATAGCTGCTCAGTCAGAGGAGGAGTTGGAGACGCTGCTGCTGAGACTGGAGCGTGCCACTAAGAGGTGGGGCCTTACCATCAGCCCCACCAAAACTAAGCACCTGCCTGGGTATTTTGTACCATCGGACGCTCCACCCCCACAACTCCCAATCGGTGATGGGGCAGTTGTGGAGAGAGTGGAGCGTTTCCCATACCTGGGCAGTGTGCTTATGACTGGCTCCAGTTTAACAGCAGAGGTCTCACTCCGAATCAGTCGAGCGGCAATATCTTTTCATCGGTTGCGTAACGCTGTGTGGAAGCTACCTGGTCTGTCGCTCCGCACTAAGCTTCAGGTCTTCTCGGCCACGGTCATTCCCTCCCTTCTCTACGCTTGCGAAACGTGGACCCCCCTAATGGAACATCTTCGCCGGTTAGAAACATTTAGGCTGGCCTGCCTACGATCCATCCTGGGTTTAACCAGACTGGATTGTGTGAGGAGCTCACAAATCCTTGAAAGATCTGGGCAGGGTCCCATCGGTGAGCTCCTCCGGCAGGCAAGGCTGCGATGGCTGGGTCATGTAGCCCGCATGCCCAGCCACCGCATGCCGAAACAGCTTTTGTTTGGCCGGATTGAGGGGGCTAAGCGGGCGCGGCACGGGCTAGAGAAGAGATGGAGTGATGTGGTACAGGAGGACGTGGAGCTGAGTGGACTTGCCGATGACTGGTACCAGCGGTGTCAAGATCGGCCTCTGTGGAGCAGGCTCGTGAAGGATGCTACTGGGCAGTTGGAGGCAGTCGCCCTCCAACAACAACGGAGGGCGGAGGAGCGATGCTCACAACAGCGAGCGGAGCGCCGGGTGGCTAAAGCACAGCAGGTTGGCACAGTAGGGGGCACAGGTGGTGCATCAGCCAGTCATCTCAGTCAGTCGACCCGTGGCACCTGGGTCTGCCCCGTGACCTCCTGCCAGCGGGCGTTCGACACTTCACGTGGCCTCAGGGTGCACATAGCCTGGCACAAGCGTCGTGGTGACGTCACCGCCACTTAGTGGCGAATGGCGGTTGTTGTTGTTGTGGTGGTGGTTGTTGTGGTGTTGGTGGTGGTTGTTGTGGTGGTTGTTGTGGTGGTAGTTGTTTTACTTGTTGTGGTGGTTGTTGTGGTGGTTGTTGTGGTGGTGGTTGTGGTTGTTGTTGTGGTGGTGGTTGTGGTGGTGGTTTTGGTGGTGGTGGTTGTGGTTGTTGTGGTGGCTGTTGTGGTGGTAGTTGTTTTACTTGTTGTGGTGGTTGTTGTGGTGGTGGTGGTTGTGGTGGTTCTATTGGTGGTGGTTGTGGTGGTGGGTGTTGTGGTGGTGGTTATGGTGGTGGTTGTTGTGGTTTTGGTGGTGGTTGTGGTGGTGGTTGTTGTGGTGGTGGTTGTTGTGGTTATTGTGGTGGTTGTTGTGGTGGTTTTTGTGGTGGTTGTGGTGGTGGTTGTTGTGGTTATTGTGGTTATTGTGGTGGTGGTTGTTGTGGTGGTGGTCGTTGTGGTTTTCGTGGTGGTGGTAGTTGTTATGGTGGTTGTTGTGGTTTTCGTGGTGGTGGTTGTGGTGGTGGTTGTTGTGGTGGTTGTGGTTGTTGTGGTGGTGGTTGTTGTGGTGGTGGTTCTGGTGGTGGTTGTTGTGGTTATTGTGGTGGTGGTGGTTCTGGTGGTGGTTGTTGTGGTTATTGTGGTGGTGGTTGTGGTTGTGGTGGTGGTTGTTGTGGTGGTTGTTGTGGTGGTTGTTGTGGTGATGGTGGTTGTTGTGGTGGTTGTGGTTGTTATGGTGGTTGTTGCAGTGGTGGTTGTGGTGGTTGTTGTTGTGGTGGTGGTTGTGGTTGTTGTGGTGGTTGTTGCAGTGGTTGTGTTTGTGGTGGTTGTTGTGGTTGTGGTTGGTGTGGTGGTGGTTGTTGTTGTGGTCATTGTTGTGGTGGTGGTTGTTGTGGTTTTGGTGGTGGTTGTTGTGGTTTTGGTGGTGGTGGTTTTGGTGGTGGTGGTTGTGGTCGTTGTTGTGGTGGTGGTTGTTGTGGTGGTGTTTGTGGTGGTGGTTGTCGTGGTTTTTGTGGTGGTGTTTGTGGTGGTGGTTGTGGTGGTTTTTGTGGTGGTGTTTGTGGTGGTGGTTGTGGTGGTCGTTGTGGTTGTTGTTCTGGTGGTGGTGGTGGTTGTGGTGGTGGTTGTGGTGGTTGTTGTGGTGGTTGTGGTGTGGTGGTGGTTTTGGTGGTGGCTGTGGTGGTGGTTGTTCTGGTGGTGGTTGTTGTGGTGGTTGTGGTGGTGGTGGTGGTTGTGGTGGTGGTTGTTGTTTACCGAGGTAGAGCCTCCCTCTCTCTCTCGTAGGGATGTCAATTGAGTAGCAGCGAGCATGCAAGCGATGTCCAGGTTGGAACTTTACAGCGCAGGGCCTAGGCACGCGGGGCCTAGGCACGCGGGGCCTAGGCACGCGGGGCCTAGGCACGCGGGGCCTAGGCACGCGGGGCCTAGGCACGCGGGGCCTAGGCACGCGGGGCCTAGGCACGCGGGGCCTAGGCACGCGGGGCCTTGCCTCCTGCCCTCACCTGATCGCGTTTGCTTCAATTCTCTCGCTTAAGTTTAATTTGTCTTCACACGGCTCGCCTCTTTGTCACTTTGTTTTACTTTTAAATATTCACGCAGTTTTTATTTCATTCTTTTTTACCAGGCCAAGCCCGCTTGAGCTGCTGTACCGCTTTTGTTTTCAGAAGCGACCTGCCCACAACACAAGGTGAGGCTCGTCAACAGCGTGGTGGTGTTCACTCTGGGCGTGTGGCGGTGTTCACTCTCTATATGTGGAGGGGAAACCCGGGGATCGGGAGGGAAATCCACACGACCATGGGGAGATAGAGAGAGAGAGAGACACGCAGCCTCGGCTGTGTTGATTGATCCTCAATTAATTACTTGATGGAATGAGGAACTATTAATTCTGAGCAGGTGGACGTAGCCAGGCATGAGTCTGGACACACCACCACCTGTGAACCATGCCAGTGCGTGACAGTGGTGGAGCCAGTGGGGGTGGGGTGCCACGTGACCCCCCAACAGTCCGATTGAAGGGGTTGCCCCCCTAACTGAAAATCCTGGCTCCACCTCTGAGTGTGTGACAGTGTCAAGTTTGTATTTGCAGTAAAGTCTATTAACTCTATTGAGCACGGGTCTTATATCAAAACAGTTTATTTTAGTTTTTTCTCTGCAACTCTTCGTAAGAATGGAGTCAGGAAGTTATCACAGCACACGTGCAGCTGAAGTCGGAACTGTTCATCCCAGCATTCAAGGACATCTGTGCCTGGGTTCACACCTCTAAGTTGCGATTTAACATTCATTTATGCATTTCGGCATAACACGAATAGTATTATTTTCAACACTCTTTGCTATGTCAGCTGAATTTAGCTTTCATAAATATTCCTTTTGAAGCCAGACATCCGAAATTGTGTGCTCGGAGTTTTGGGTTAACATTCATTTTGAAGATACCAGGGCTTCCAGGCACGTTTATAACCATTTGCCCTCTCATTGTGTGCCATAACAGCCCGTGTGATGAATTTGGGACACTTTTTCACTATAACATGAATATATGAAGAAGTATAGACTTGTTAGTCACGTGTTACTGTGTGTATGCATTCCTCTGTGCATCGATACTGACGTGTAGATGGTGTTTATATTCTTTTTTTCTGTCTGCAGCTGTCGCTTCCTCTGCAGTATTTGTCTGATGGAGCAAAGGCACTCGGCGCGGCTCGGTGCAAAAAGACAACAATGTGACCGGCGTGCATACAGCACGGATCGTACTGGAAATTTGACACGGCACCAGAGAACACACACGGGAAAGAACCCCTTCAAGTGCAGTGTATGTGGGAAGGCGTTTGCACAGTCGCCACATCTGCAAGTACACCAGAGAACACACACGGGAGAGAAACCCTTCAAGTGCAGTGTGTGTGGGAAGGCGTTTGCACATTCATCTGCTCTTGTAACACACCAGAGAACACATACGGGAAAGAAACCCTTCAAGTGCAGTGTATGTGGGAAGGCGTTTGCACAGTCGCCACATCTGCAAGTACACCAGAGAACACACACGGGAGAGAAACCCTTCAAGTGCAGTGTGTGTGGGAAGGCGTTTGCACATTCATCTGCTCTTGTAACACACCAGAGAACACATACGGGAAAGAAACCCTTCAAGTGCAGTGTGTGTCCGAAGGCGTTTGCACAGTCACCACATCTTCAAGCACACCGGAGAACTCACACGGGAGAGAAACCCTTCAAGTGCAGTGTGTGTGGGAAGGCGTTTACAGATTCATCTGCTCTTGTAACACACCAGAGAACACACACGGGAGAGAAACCCTTCAAGTGCAGTGTGTGTGGGAAGGCGTTTTCACAGTCACCAAATCTTGTAAAACACCAGAGAACACACACGGGAGAGAAGCCCTTCAAGTGCAGTGTGTGTGGGAAGGCGTTTACATGTTCATCTGCTCTTGTAACACACCGGAGAACACAAACGGGAGAGAAACCCTTCAAGTGCAGTGTGTGTGGGAAGGCGTTTGCACGTTCATCTGTTCTTATAACACACCAGAGTACACACACAGGAGAGAAACCCTTCAAGTGCAGTGTGTGTGGGAAGGCGTTTGCACGTTCATCTGTTCTTATAACACACCAAAGTACACACACAGGAGAGAAACTCTTCAAGTGCAGTGTGTGTGGGAAGGCATTTGCACATTCATCTACTCTTAAAAAACACCAGAGTACACACACAGGAGAGAAACCCTTCAAGTGCAGTGTGTGTGGGAAGGCGTTTGCACATTCATCTACTCTTAAAAAACACCAGAGAACACACACAGGAGAGAAACCCTTCAAGTGCAGTGTGTGTGGGATGGCGTTTACACTTTCATCAAATCTTCATGTACACCAGAGAACACACATGGGAGAGAAACCCTTCAAGTGCAGTGTGTGTGGGAAGGCGTTTGCACAGTCACCACATCTTCAAAGACACCAGAGAACTCACAAGCATCAGAAGACCCACAAGGAGTGGAGTCTGAAATCAGCTTGTGGAAGTCAAAGTGGCGCAATGAGCCCATCCGTCATGAAACAAGAACCGGAAGAAAATCCAAGCTTGGACACTTTTAAAGGTATAGAGGTGAAATATGAACAAGTGATGGTGAAGAGCGAAGAAGTGAAGGTAAAATGTGAAGATGATTCAACTCCAAAGTCGGACCGACACATTAATGGAGGAAACGTGAAGCAGGAGGAGAATTCTGACTGTGAGGCAGAGCGAGGCAATTCTCAGCAGTTTGTGGAAGTGGAGGTGTGGGTGGACTTCCTCCGAGACAATACGAAGTCAATTGGAGACCCGTTAGATGTGTAAGCTTGAGACGATGTCGCTCCAATAGATGCACCTTTGTCACAGGCCTTTAATGACAACAATAAAGTTGAACACTCAATTCCTAGGTTCAACCTGCAGGGTAAGAGCAGCCAGTCTTTGTGGACCTGTGGGTTGGGTAGATCTCTAACCATGAGCGAGAGTCAATAAGCTCCCAAGCATTCACAAGGTTCTAATTATTCCAATTATATGGTGGTTGCTTAATCGCCTCTGGCAATTCGGAGTTTTGTATCGTATCTTGTCTCAAACACTTGAAGAGCACCCCCAAATAGCAGCTGCCCCTGTGTGGCACAAGGTGGTGGCCCTGCACTGGCCTGCATGTGGACAAGAGCCTATCAGTAGGGGGTGATGGTTGATGTGGCATCTTGGTTGTGTAGTTTGTAGGTAATGTTCAGAATTTGATACATTTTGTCCCAGATGCCAGCGTGCAATGGCATACTCGTTTTGGCGCAATAGTATGTTGTACATACACTGTTAAGCAGACGGTGCATATTTTTTTTAAACAGCTTCTTGTTAATGCGATGTAACCTTACTCATTGTTTTTTTCGGTAAAGTCACGTATGTAGAAATACAATAAAATTATATTAAAACAAAATCACGACGTTTAGATCACAACACAAGAGATCTTCATCAGGTGTCAAGGACAAATCATGGCAAGAACAAATCATGGAGGTAAATACAACAAAGAAGATGAGAGATGAGAATTTAACAAACCTAAAAAACATGTGAAGCACAACCAGTCAGGCCAACAACACAGACACTTCCTGGCGGACCACGAATTTCAGGAGTGTTAAATTTCGTGTTTAACTTCTGGATTGCACAAACCAGCATAGACAGAGTGAAAATGAGGTACATGGTCAGTAGGAAAGACGGACAGAGAGGCAAGAAGAGAGAGAGGTGAACAGAAGCTTAAATAGGAAATAAGGTTGGGGGGGGGGGGGGCAAAAGGAGAGTGGCAGCTCATCTTGCGGCAGCTCAAAACAGCACATCTTGCATATACACAAGCAGGGGGGAGGGGTGGGAACAGGCTTGGGGTGCACCTGCAATTCAATTTTGTTCATATGCCTGTCAATAATTTAGAATGAATACTTGTCTGATTGTGTGCGTACATGTAACATTTTGTGTAAAACGGTCAAACATTGAATAAGTGATGTTAGGACAAAGTGTGTGTTTTGGAAGTAACCTGTACAGATAACTCAGGTGAGAGTCATTGGTCGACTGACTTAGATGACTGGGCCCCCCACAGTGTGTACACACACACAGTGTGTATACACACATGTGTGTGTATGTACACAGTGTGTGTACATACGTACACACTGTGTGTGTGGTTGTTGTACACACATGTGTGTGTACACTGTGTGTGTGTACACTGTGTGTGTGTACACTGTGTGTGTGTGTACACTGTGTGTGTTTGCACTGTGTGTATGTGTACAAAGTGTGTGTGTACACTCTGTGTGCAAACACTGCAAACACTGTGTGTGTGTACGTACACACACACAGTGTACGTACACACAGAGTGTACACACACACACAGTGTACACACACACAGTGTGCACACATACAGTGTACACACACACAGTGTACACACACACAGTGTACACACACAGTTGTGGCTGAGCTCACACACCTAAGGGGTCTCTGATCAAGGGAGGGAGCAAGGGAAAATGAATCTAAATCAACTTAAACTCCAACCCCGCTCTGTGACGTCACCACTCAGCATTCCCTCATCGGCGTGAAACGCCAGGGGGAGGTGTACCTCGCTAGTGACGTCATGTCACCAAGGTATTCATCCCACCCGGTCCAATGCGCCCTTTAGCGTGACGTCACCTCTGCCTGGGTCACTTCCCTTACCTGTTCAACTAGAATCCTTGTTTGGGCAAAGCTACTCCCGGTGACTGGCAGCTCATTAACATAATATATCCATGAAAGCCGTCCCGAGTTTATTGCGACGAGTTCGGCACCCACGCCCACAGAGCCGCTCATTGTGGGAGGGGAGTCTTTTGTACCCCGCAAGTGACGTCATGTCAACTCCTGCTGCTGCGTGACGTCACGAAGTAACAGCAAGCTGCTGCTCCGCCGTGCACTGAAATCCGAGGTGAGAAATTCTCATCGCGGTTGTGGTTGTGGTGGTTGTTGTGGTGGTTGTTGTTGTGGTGGTTGTTGTTTACCGAGGTAGAGCCCCGCTCTCTCTCGTAGGGATGTCAATTGAGTAGCAGCGAGCATGGAAGCGATGTCCAGGTTGGAACTTTACAGCACGGGGCCTAGCCACGCGGGGCCTTGCCTCCTGCCCTCACCTGATCGCGTTTGCTTCAATTCTCTCGCTTAAGTTTAATTTGTCTTCACTCGGCTCGCCTCTTTGTCACTTTGTTTTACTTGTTGTGGTGGTTGTTGTGGTCGTGGTTATTGTGGTTGTTGTGGTGGTGGTTGTTGTTGTGATGGTGGTTGTGGTGGTGGTTGTCGTGGTGGTTGTTGTGGTGGTGGTTGTGGTGGTTGTTGTGGTGGTGGTTGTGGTGGTGGTTGTTGTGGTGGTGGTGGTTGTTGTGGTGGTTGTGGTGGTTGTGGTGGTGGTTGTTGTGGTGGTGGTGGTGGTTGTTGTGGTGGTTGTGGTTGTTGTGGTGGTGGTTGTTGTGGTGGTTGTTGTTTTGGTGGTGGTGGTTCTGGTGGTGGTTGTGGTTGGTGTGGTGGTTGTTGTGGAGGTTGTGGTTGTTGTGGTGGTTGTTGTGGTGGTTGTTGTGGTGGTGGTTGTTGCGGTGGTTGTTGTGGTGGTGGTTGTTGTGGTGGTTGTAGTGGTGGTGGTTGTGGTGGTGGTTGTTGTGGTGGTGGTTGTTGTGGTGGTGGTTGTGGTGGTTGTGGTGGTGGTTGTTGTGGTGGTGGTTGTGGTAGTGGTGGTGGTTGTTGTGGTGGTGTTTGTTGTGGTGGTTATGGTGGTTGTGGTGGTGGTTGTGGTTGTTGTGGTTGTTGTTGTGGTGGTGTTTGTTGCGGTGGTTGTTGTGTTGGTGGTTGTAGTGGTGGTGGTGGTTGTTGTTTACCGAGGTAGAGCCTCGCTCTCTCTCTCTCGTAGGGATGTCAATTGAGTAGCAGCGAGCATGGAAGCGATGTCCAGGTTGAAACTTTACAGCACGGGGCCTAGCCACGCGGGGCCTTGCCTCCTGCCCTCGCCTGATCGCGTTTGCTTCAATTCTCTCGCTTAAGTTTAATTTGTCTTCACTCGGCTCGCCACTTTGTCACTTTGTTTTACTTGTTGTGGTGGTTGTTGTGGTGGTTGTTGTGGTTGTTGTGGTGGTGGTTGTTGTTGTGATGGTGGTTGTGGTGGTGGTTGTTGTGGTGGTGGTTGTGGTGGTTGTTGTGGTGGTGGTTGTGGTGGTGGTTGTTGTGGTGGTGGTGGTTGTTGTGGTGGTTGTGGTGGTTGTGGTGGTGGTTGTTGTGGTGGTGGTTGTTGTGGTGGTTGTGGTTGTTGTGGTGGTGGTTGTTGTGGTGGTTGTTGTTTTGGTGGTGGTGGTTCTGGTGGTGGTTGTGGT